ATCCTTGTGCTTGCTTTCCAAATGCCCAATACCCACAAATTTCAACATTGAAAAATATAGAGATCACAACAGAGTAGTATACCAATAATCCTTTGAGCATTTTTCTTGTTACCAGAGGTGCTATAATTGCTTGTAATGATTACACAAAACAATAAATTAAACAAATATATTGAAAAATATAGAGATCACAACAAGAGTAGCATACCAATAATCCTTTGAGCATTTTTCTTGTTACCAGAGGTGCTATAGTTGCTTGTTACACAAAACAATAAATTAAACAAATATATTGAAAAATATAGAGATCACAACAGAGTAGCATACCAATAATCCTTTGAGCATTTTTCTTGTTACCAGAGGTGCTATAGTTGCTTGCAATAACTACACAAAACAATAAATTAAACAAATATGTTTAACTGTTATTAATTTTGAAACAATTAGATGAGTATTTTTGAAACATTTTTATATAAATACATAAGTATAATATGCTTTAAATAATACAATGTAATAATTAACTGTTTGGTGAAACTCTATTTTTCAAATATAGGGCTAGCCGATAAACTAGCTTCAAATATAAGGGTTTTATAGTAGGAATATATTAGAGCTATGAAGACAAAGTATTATTGATTGGTTATGTGTTACAAAGCTATTAGCCAATGTCCCTACTTATAGGAATAGATTCATGCTACCCTAGTCCTAGTCATATTGGACAAGGCAAGGGTATACAAGGTTTCTTTGAGGACGAAACTGCAATTTATACTGTACTCTTTTTACACTATATGTCTATCTTTATAATAGACATGCTAGGAATGCTCCACCAACTCATTCCTTGGCCAACTTTTTTTTATTAATCTAGCTAGACCCAAAATTCTTCAACAAATCACTATTTAAACTAGTGTATTACATGTTTGCAAATAAATGATATGTCCTCGCATCAAGAACCATTTGTCTCACTGATGATACTGCCCCGATCAATGATAATGCCGTGGAGGCAACTGCAATAATGGTATTTCCCCATAATATTAAGCTTTTCTTAGAAGGCTTGAACGTAACATTGTAGAAAATCATAGGCAAAATAAAGTCTAAAGGAATGCAACCAAACGCCCCGAATATTGCCATGATGTCCCCGAAGAAAGGTAACATTGCAGCCAACGTCGTCGCTACCACCACTGTCGCCGACCGGGCTATTAATCGTGGCACAACATTGCGAATTGACAACACATCCTTCTTTGGATCTGCAAATTTATTCTCTAGAACAACATTTGACGGTTGCAAATATGTCTACATTGTGCACACCCACAACCAAAATTAAAAAAAAAAAAAATCACAATCTTTATAAAATCAATCTCCTTTGTTATGATTCTTAAAGTTTTCAATGTCTTACCAATGTTACAGCTGATACTTGCGTTAAGGTGAAGACATTAGTCATCAAAAGGAACCACTTGGGGAGCAGAGGTTTTCCATCAACCATAAAGTTTTGGAGCACTGATCCTTGAGATTGGTTTCCAAATGCCCAATACCCAGAAATTGCGACACTAAAAAATGTAGAGATCACAACAGAGTAGCATACCAATAACCCTTTTAACATTTTTCCTGTTACGGGAGGTGCTATGGTTGCCTGCAATGATGATTAGATTGCACAAAGTAATAAGCACACACATTTAAATTTCAACTTTCTTTTATATATATAATTACTTTTTGAAAGACCTGTATTTCAGGTATAATTCCGTTGCCATAAGTTGTAGCAATGATAGAAACAGCATTAAAGATCCCAAAAACACGGTTAATTCCGGAACTAGTAACCGAGTAGCTTCTTGCCGGCGCCTTATTGGAATGCCCTATACAAATTAAATGATAAGCAATAAAAAAGAGTAAAGAGATAGAAAAATAAAATATAATATAATATTTTCTCAATACGATTTAATTCATTACCAATATCAATAGACCCGCTGGTTGTGCAAGCGCAATAAGCAAGACAGAGAACCAAAGATACAAGATTGATGTGCCTGAGAGAGTGGAAAGATGGCAATTGTGCCATGACTAGTGTTAGGCATCCAAAGATGATGATAAATTGGTAAAGCTGCATGCTTCCATTTGGTGTAGTCACCAAGTATATGAACTGCAAAACATTAATATATATCATAACTTATGAGTAGGTAAAAAAAATTCATAAAAATATGACTAAAAGATTTTTTTTTTTGTTTACCATTTTTAGATGGCATTATTTTAGAGAGAAAAAGTTGGTCCAACCTTGAGAGATTGTCCACCTAAGAGTATGCATGCAACTACAGCACCATAGCATATAGTCAACTGCAGAGGGCCAACAAAATACCTGCCCCATCCTGGCCCTGTGATTATAGATTTTTAGAGGCAATTAAAGGAACATAAATAAATAAAGATAAATAGACATATCATTGTGGTTTAAGAAAAACACATGCAATAAGAATGCGGTTTGGTGTGTATTACGTGTTCAATAATCTCAATTTGTAAAAGCGTAAAAGTTTCAAGAATGATTTTATAATTTTTCTTTTCTATATTATTGTGAGATTAATCTAAATTTTAAGAAAGTACATTATCTGATTTTATAATTATATTAGCAATACGTGCAAAATCATCCAAACCTACTGGGTTGATATCACATTTTTCAAAATACTTTATATATATATATATATATATATATATATATATATATAGTACCAATAATACCATATACATCTATGTAAATTCTCCTGGGTGATTTGTTATTGTTACATAAGAGTGAGATTTACCTTATTTATATCTCGAACCCTGACTGCAGTTTCTCTCGTCACTCAAAAATATATATATGATTATATTTAATAATTTTTTTAGTTTAATAAAAAAATTTACCGTTACTATCCAAAAATATCCTAATTTTTAAATGCTATGGACTCTATTACAATATAGTATTCATAAATCATAACTACTTTCTCAACTTACTGAAGCACAAAGAACCAATAAGGCCTACACTAAAGCTCAAACTTCCAACCTCCCAACCTTCCATATCTAAGTCTAAAAATATTCTAATTAATTGATAAAAGAATACAAGAAAGTAAATCAGCCTAGATGATGTATATCATCATCCCTATAGAAAATTAGGAAATATATGTATGTGTACCTAAGATGTGATGAGCCATGTCACGGAAACGAAGTTGGCGTTTCCCAATACGATCATGGTGTTCCAAAACTACGGACAAAAGGTAATAGGAGTAGAAAGTAACCATCCCGGCTAAGGTGAGAGCAATCACCCCTCCCACCCATCCCAGAAACGTGAAAGCGAACGGCAAGCTTAGCAGCGCCGGCGCCACGATCGCCGTCGTCATATGGTATCCGCAGTGCAACCATGACCCTAATACACATATATATAACCATTCCGTTAGTTCTTCGATCAATTCTTTACAAGAAAAAACTGAAGGCCGGCCGGAGAGAGCAGACTGACCTTGGGATTTTAGAACGAAAAGAACGCCGGCGGCGTCTAGCTCTTTGGGACCAACGACCACGCCGTTTTCGGCGTCTATTGGCGGCGATGCTCCGGCGGACCGCGGTGCAACAGTAGCCATTGTTAGATGTAGCTAGGGGCTTCAGGCCGGCCGGCTTGAGATATATGGGACTCGGAGGCTGTGAGGAAGGTTGGTTAATAAAGACAAGAAGATAATTGTTGCAGTGATAGTGAAATAGTCAAATTTCAGACTTTTTGGGCAACGTTAATGAATGCAAAAAGTGCTAGCTGTAATCATCATGAATGTTCTAAAGTCATATATAATAATAGGCTAGGGCTTTTAGGACCATTACAGGTAAAGTTAACAAAATATCTTTTACATTTGGCATGTGGTGTCTTTTGATCTTTTACAATTGCATTAACAATCTACTTATCAATTGTTCTAAGTTAATTAGAATTAACCATGTGTTACTGGATTAGGATCATATTAACAACGTGTTGATTGATCTAAAACAAGTTGGTTACGATTCGAATTTTACTCAGATCAATATAATTATCATTTTCATATTGTTTTTCTTTTAGAGAAACCTGTAACCATTGTCTTGTGATCTTAACTGCAAAAGATCAAAATGAGGTAAACCGACTTAAGTTGTTTATAGCTGACTAGTTCAAATCAATACGAATAGATCAAATAACTCTAATTAGAATCAACTTGTAATCTTGTAAGTCAAACCAACCTAGATTTATCCTTGATAAAGTCATACTATTTTTAAGCAAAACTTCAAACTGTGATGTAAGAGAGGTGCAACGAATTGAAGGTTGCCGATAGCAAACTGGGAAAAGTACAAAAGACATGCGTTGAGATTAGTGGAAAATTATTGAAAGCTATCCGATCAGATCAGATGAGTATATTTTGTATTGTTTGATGGTGGGAGAATTAGCACGTCGCTGACTGCAACACTGATTGGTAAATGGTAATATAAAAGTGAATAACACCAGAGCAGCCATTTCGGACTTTGAGCGAAAGAGTTACTTGCCCAATAATTAATCAACATAAGTAATAAAACTAAAGCATATATCTCAATTTTTTTTGAGATACAGTTTTTTTTCTTCGAATTGACCAATCACCTAAACTATGTCCTGAGTTTACTCATTGTTGTAATGGAAGTTTATGTGGGAAAAGTCAAGTAATATGATTCCTAGTCTAACAGGAAAACTACAAACTATGATGCAGGTAAGAATGTAAGATGATGTTACTGATAGATGCACTATGTTATGATATGCTATAGCCTATAGGTGGAGTGGAGGTGGCCTGACGAAGGGTATTTGCAGTTTGGGAAAGATACAAAATGTATTTGTTTAGGAAAAAGGATTAGGTGAATATAGAAAGCTATATTTGTTTTTTTTTTTTTTATTGATTTGTGATTAATGAGATTTGACTGAGTTATTTTAAATTTAATATTACTATATAAAATTTATATGTTTAGAAAGTAAATTAAAAGTCATCTTAAATACAGAAAGTTAAATTTAAAAATACTAAAGCAAATAAGAAAAAGATAGAATTGTTTGATTAATAAATAGTAAACAAGACATGTGAAATGAGACCGGTTGTTATCACTCTAATACATGTTTTGCACAAGAGATGTCTAAATTGTGATCAGATTTCCTCGAGGCTCATGTTCCAGAACTCAACTTCAAGCTCCAGAACGCGTAAAACTACACGTTCAGCTCTAGAGACGACGCCATTATCTGGTGCCTTGAGCAGACAGCGATTTGCAATAGATTGAAGGGACTTACAATATTGACCAAAACCATCATTGCCCCATCTTTCACAGGTCTCCCTTAGATCTTCTCGGGTTTTAGAGCCTTCTTGCAGACAGTGGGCAAAGCTTTCTTGATAGACAGCTTCAATAGCCCAGAAAGCGGTAACAGCCACTGTATATTCAACTTCTGGGCTTATTAGGCTCTCTAAGAAACTGAACAAGGATAAAAGAGTTAGTTCTATCAGTAATCATATCTTAAAGAGGAAAAGCATTTATCTGCATGTTCTTGGAAGTTGGAATGAATATAGGTGAGCAGATTATCGATGCCAATGGATTATATATGAAACCTGTTTAAGGTAATGTAGTGGGGTACTTGTTCTTGGAATAACATGCCAAGAAATGTGAAATAACAACTTCAAAAAACGCATCAAGCACAAACTTATGCCACAATAGATCCATATATAGCATCTTAACAAAAGATAATTAAAGTTTGTCATATTTAGTTTGAAGAGAATGAAAGAAGTTTGAGATGGCTTAATTTGAAGGTCACTACAAAAGTTTGGCATGCCTAATATAAAGAGCAAGACAGAAGCATAGCGGTTGTGATCATTGATATAAAGTAATCCCTAATACTTGAGCAAGATCAGACAAAATGCAAGGATATCGAGATGTGTATTCAAGACCTGCAGTAATCGTGATTGGCCTTCTGAGGAAGGAGAGTGGTCAATGGAACATTCCACTTGGAAGCTTCTGCCTTAAACCATGATATTTCATCATTTAAGGAAGCCATACCGCCTAAAATGACCTCCATATCAGAGCCTTCATCTGACTCCTTGCAAGCTTTCAGCAATACACTTGCTACAAAGGGCACAAATGCTCTCACGAAAAGATAATCCTGCCCCTGAAATTTAAAATAGACAGGAAACAAATGTATTAGAAACTATGTCACGTTTCAAGAATAGTTACAACAATTTCTTGTTGTGTTAGAAAAAACCAAAAACCCAGAAGCTTTTTTTTTTTTTTTTTTTTTTGTTCCTTCAACCAAGTTGGTCAAACTGTTGAAATGATAACCACACGTCTTCATGTTCGACTTCTGGTGGTCCATCTAGGCAACCTAGGCTGGTTTCTCTCATTGTGGTCCTTCACCAACTAGGGTCACAAAGTAGGGTTTACCTTAGCAGTGGTTTCCCTCCTAGTCCCAAAAAAAAAAAAAAAAAATCCAGCAGTTTTCAGTCATAGGATAGGTTTTCATGAACCACAACTCTGAGACACCAAAACAGAAGCTTGATGATTCTCATGTGCATTCTAACGAAAAGTCTCAGGAATTGAAACTTCAAGAAATGTTTCAGCTGACACTACTTCAACTTAATTGATTCAATTTTACTGACATTTTTATGCAAAAACTGTGAACACTCCATTTTTTTTACAGAATGCATACCAGACTGACAGGCTCCATCCAAATTAGACTCCATATTCAGACCAATTTTCAGTTTTCTTCTTCAATTACCACAAAGGAAAGAGTATAGCTCAAAACGCATAAGAATTACAACATAATAAGAGTATAGGAGGATACAAGAGACGCAAGAAGACGAAAATACATACACAAAACGCGGCAATGGTAGTAATAGTGGGTATTACTTACCAGCCAACGTTTGAAAGCAGAGAGATCAACAGAGCCATCACGGATGCTGAGGATGAAAGGGTGTCGAGTCGCCGCCGTGTATAGCGGCGCGTGTTTTTTCATCCATGTTTCGATCATCTTTGTTGTGTCGCCGAAGTTCAGAGTTCAGACAGTTGGTTAGACGACGGTCTCACAAAGCCTCGGTCGGAGCTTACTAAATTTACCAAGTGATACATTTCGAATAATTTCTTCTCCACCTCTAAAGTTTTTGAAAATTTCACTTTGCCCCTTTTATTTTGTGAAGGTGTCATGTGAGCAAAATCTGATAGGATTTCCTACTTGCCTAAATTCCACCTCTAAGTAGGGCTTTCTACTTACACGTAATACACATAAACTCTTAACATAATACACATAAATATAAAAAACTATAATGAATAATACACATAAATATAATTAAACGGATAGAACGGTGTCCGTCGTGTCAACTCCCAACTTATAGAAATGATGTCATTTTGAGTCAAGACACACAATCTTGGTTTACAATATAATTTAGAGTAAATACCTAAAATGGTCCATCGACTATAGCTAAATTCACAAATTGGTCCTCAACTTTCAATTTCACCCAATTAAGTCCTTAACTTTGTAATTTTGACACGATTTGGTCCTCCATCTAATTGACCGTTTGTTGACCGTGATCGACGATCTCCAGAAGAACCTTCAGGTCTCGTCGGAGCACGTGGAGGCCTCCAGGATGACGTTGCACCGGTTCGAAAACACGTCGTCTTCTTCGCTCTGGTACGAATTCAACTACATTGAATCCAAAGGGAGGATGAAGAAGGTGACCGGGTTTGGTAGATTGCTTTCGACAATGGATTCAAATGTAACAGTGCGGTCTGGAAATACAACCGGAACCTTAAAAAACCGACGATGAACCATAAAATTACATATATATCCTCAAAAATCACAGTCAACAAACGGTCAAATAGACAGAGGACCAAATTGTGTTAAAACTACAAAGTTAAGGACTTAATTGGGTGAAATCGAAAGTTGAGGACCAATTTGTGAATTTAGCTATACTCGAGGGACTATTTTGAGTATTTACTCTATAATTTATACGTGTTAAATTAATCAAGTTGTTGATTTAGTAAATTATTATGAATTCAGCTCTTAGAAAGAGCGGTCTGTTGATCTCCTTTACTGATTTTCCTCTTTATAATCTTTTGCGACTAAGATTATAATGTATCGACTTCTCTAAGAGCATGTACATCAAATAACCGAGTACATTAACACCAATAGGGAGCATAACGGGTGTTTATGACACTGCTAACTGGGTTTTTGGAGTTCATTAAAAACTTGATACAATATGATCTAAAACAATGGCTGAAATCATAATCAACAACAATTGTAAACACATGACTAATCATTCAAGTTATGAACATGAGAAAAACTGCACATTTCCATCACAAGAAATCATCTTCTATTTTTTTTTTTCTCCCTGTGATCAAAGAAGAGTGATGAGGATGAAAATGAGAAGGGCAGCTATGAAGGAGTACTTGAGAGCGGCAATCAAAATCGCCAACGATATACCGAAGAGCTGCAGCAGGATCTGCACGCTCGCCCACGTCAGCAGACCCGTTAATCCAACGGCCACGATGTTTTCCGGATCCGGGTCGAGCAGCAGATCAACCCATCTCAGATTCAATTTCGGCCGCCCATTATTCCCCTTTCCTCCGCCTCCGCCGCCGCCGTTGCTGTTCAGACCGTTCTCCCGATTTCCTTTTCCATTGTTGTCCGCGCTTGTGACGTCCCTGTCGCCGTTCTCCGCGGCGGAGACTGCGAAGAGGTTTCTTCTGGGGCTGAGTTTAGGGGGCGGAGATTTGAGGAGTGAGAGTCGGCGGGATTTGAATCCGTGTGAGGGGAAATTGGTGGTGGACAGGTGACTAACGATGGCTGAAGGTGGTGGCGGCGGCGACGGCGGCGGGATGGGGGTTAAAGACACAGCGAAGGCTAACATCAGCAATTCGCGTTTTTCTTTGCAGCCATCCGGCGATGATTATTTTGGGTGGTGGTGTTTGTGTTTAGCCTCCCTTTTTTGTTTTCCGAAATTACCCCTAACTTTTGGGATCCTTTTGTTCTAGTTTTGCAAGATATTCCCTAATGTTTTGAGGTTATTGCATTGTTTCCCATTTATTTTTAGAGCTATACTATATGTTTCTCTTGTTTGCTCTTCGTTGAGTTAACACTTTTAAATTAGTTGGAGAAAAGGGTCAAATAGGCCCCTAAACATTTCACAAAAAGTCAATTAGGCTCATAAACTTTTTAAAAGTGCAATTGAACACATGAACTCACGATTTTGAGTCGTCTGACCCCATTAGAAGGTTACCACTCAGCTAGGTGTCGGTAAATGCCTCTGTGGCTTGCCACATAAGCTGTGTTTTGATTATTTGGCTTGCCACATAAGCATAAATAAATAAAAATTAAATTAAAGAAAATAAAATAAGTGAAGCCATTGTCTCCCTCAGAACTCTGCCTCGCCAAGCTCCTGCTTCTTTGAAAATGCCGTCGTACAAGACCTTCATGATCAATAAGAAGATGGTGAAGAAACAGAGACATAACAGGCTTATTCCTTACTGGATGATATTTTCATTTGAGTAATGGATCTAATTTTTCTGGATTAAAAAAAATTTTCCCAACTTGAATCGCACCAGCATCTCACTTCATCGCACGAGCACCGTCCACCACCGCCAGAATCTGAGAGATGGAGTACCGGCAGCAATAAACCCAAAGCAGATTGAGTCGGATGCTCCCGCCGAGGCGAGGGCAGGTGATGGATAGGGTTCTCAGAACGCTGGTTAGATCGGCTTCCAGTTTGGCCCTGCTTCTGGAATTCGAAGAAGACTGCAGGTTGTTCTGATGCCCTTAGCCCAATTTCTTGGGCGACCCCGAATCGGACTCCGTCGCTGATTCATATCGTTCCCAGCGATAATCATCTTTTCAATTTTTGTGATTTTTTGACATTTATGTACATATCTTGTTAGTAGAACAGGTGAAAGCGAAGACAAAGGATTTTTGCTTTGCGAAATTACAAACTTGACATTTATGTACAGTTCAGTAAAAACTATAATTTTCATCCATGATAGATTAGATATCACTGCTTAAGGTTCTTCTTCCTCCTTTTGGTACATGATGAGCGGAGGTAGCAGGAAGCCAGGAATTCTCTTTAATTTATTTATTTTATTTATACTTATGTGGCAAGTCAAATAATCAAAACACAGCTTATGTAGCAAGCCACGTAGGCATTTACCGACACCTAGCTAAGTGGTAACCTGCTAATGGGGTCAGACGACTCAAAATCGTGAGTTCATGTGTTCAATTGCACTTTTAAAAAGTTCATGGGCCTAATTGACTTTTTATAAAATGTTTAGGGGCCTATTTGACCTTTTTCTCAATTAGTTGTGATGAGGTAACAATCGTTATGTTGTGCAACCACATGGTGCACACAGTTGCAAACGATGTCGTTTCACTATGGTGGAGTAACGATGTCACCGCTTAACTCTACCAATCAATTTTTTTTTTAAACTCCAATCGACGGAATTTCCACCATTTTCGATGTGGATATATAGTTCACTAATTTTGGATATATAGTTTACTAATTATGGATATATAGTTCATTACTTCTGGATACATATTTCATTAATTCTTGATATATAGTCCACTAATACTGAATTTATAGTTTATTATTTCTGAATATATAGTTCATTCATTCTGAATACACAGACGCAGCGAACTGCCATAAGCCAAAACAGAGTACCAGTAACCGGTGTGGATATATAGTTCACTAATTCTGGATATATAGTTCATTAATTCTGGATATATAGTTCAAATTATGCACAGCATAGCGCCGTTAACGGCAATAAAAAATAATTTATTTTTTTAAAGTCGGATGTCAAAACGACGCCATTTTTACAACCATGTGCACTATAATGGGAATTAATTATGAGGAATTATTAATTAATAACAATTAATTATGAGGAATTATCAAGGATGTGGTCAGCAACGTGAAGATTACTCATGCACATTGCATAGTATAGCATGATGGGAAAATGTACTCCCATAGATACAAAAAATAGTGGAACACATATCCTTTTTAAGCTATATAAATGATCAATCCAATGATTGTTAAAGTTTGGGAATTTTTTTATTTTTTTTTTGATAATTAGTATAATGCATGCTAAATGTTGCAATCAAACAATTACACATTTATTAATCAAAGAGGCAACGTAAAGTAGAAGATGTATTAGATGCTCGATGTTTTGTCCCTATCACTTTCAATTCTTTATTTCTCTCACATCTCTTACCAAGTTGTGTGTGGTTGGCATAAGAACAGAAACATTATTGGTGTCATCGGTAGAAGTTCAAAATTTAAAACTTGTGTCCTTGTTGTTTTTTATTCATACATAACATATACGGAGTTTTATGAACTTAGAACAATGTTAAAATTACTTGATATGATATATACACTTATAGTTAACATATTATATACTTATAAATTAAGTTTATTTATATACAATTAATAGATTATATACATATTGTAAAAGTAAGTGTTAAGATTGATAATCAAACTGAAAGAAAGAAAAAGAAAAAAAAATCACATTAATTTAAACAAAACAAAATTATTTTGAACTAGGAATCTAAGATTAGACATGACCAAGATTCCAATTCCGGTTCCTCAAATCGCCAAACCAAAATCGAAACGTTATATTAAGGTTCCTGTTAGAGCCGTCAATTCAAACCGTGATTTTTTTATTTTTTTTTTAAGTTTTGTTTTATGTTTATGTTTGGCGCAAGGCCAAGTAGCCAGTAGGTCACTGGCGTGTCAAACTGCCAATGGCAATTTGGCTTTTGAAAAAATGAAACTTCAAATTTTTTTTTAACAATTCTCATGGTCTGCCCTATCATCAAACTACCCGTGTCGTTGTCTGACCGCCTCATTTTCATCCCATCTATCTAAAAAGTGGTAAAGAAGGACTCTTTGGGGTCTAATTCAACCGGAACCGTCAGTTCCGATTCTAGTTTTTCTATAATCAGAATCGGAATCGAAACTGACCGTACGATTCTAATTCTGATTTGATTTTAACAATGCACGATTCGGTTCAAATCGAACTATGATCGTGCCTATCTAAGATATACGATCTAATTTGTGCTTGTATTTGTCTTTCTTCAAAAAGGTGGGTTTTAACTTTTAAATGATGCTTTCAAAGAAAAGAAAAAAACTTTTAAATGATTGAGCTGCCATCGATATGACCTACTCCAAGTTAGTTGTTAAGTCCACTTCAAT